GCTGCCCGGGCCCCCCAGGGGGGGGCCCGGTCGGCCCTCAACCCCACAGACCTCCGCCTGCCTCTGCCTCCCGAGTGCTGGGATTAAAGGTGTGCAGCAGCTACCCAGTCTTTATGTGTGTCTTCTGCAGTGTACCTGTGCCAGGAGCCTCTGATGTGCCCAGCACTACCTCCTTTCAACTGTCCCTCACTCAAGCTTTGTATTATATGTTTTTCCCCCTTTACCCACTACCTGAAATCATCTCTAGGAAGAGAATTGTAAAGAGTAGTGTTTAGGTAGAATGGGATATGGTTGTAGAAGCCAGGAAGGATGTTCCTCAGAACCTCAGGAAGTGGCAAAGAGGCTGAGACAAGAAGAAGGAAAACTAGTGGGGCTGAACCAAAGACTAGCTGTTAAGAGACAGCAGTATCACTTGGAGACCATGTTCAAGGATTTTGAATTATGTCTTGGAGCCCAGCGAAGGGAACTAAAAAGGAAAGTAATATGACCAACTTTGTATATTTGAAAGCTTAATGTAACTGTAGCTGGGAAAGTTCATTGAGGGAAAGTAGGACTGGAAGCAGAGGGTAGCATGATGGTGCTAGTGATTGATATAGAATGGCAGTGAATGAATGTGGTAAGAAGTGGAGCTGTTTGAAGTAGACATGTTATAGGTAAGAGAAAGAATTTTATGATGGATTGATCACAGGGAGGATAGAAGATAGATGAATTCATGGCAGTGATGAAGATGAGAAGCTAGTGTCTGACACATCCAGGAGTGATATCTAATGAGCAGTGTGTGATGCTAATCAGGGTCACAAAAAATCGAACTGCAGACAGCTTCCAACATTCCATGTAGTTGGTTCAGAGATGTAAATTGGTTCTGAGGCAAACTTCAAAACCTTAACAATTAGAAGTTAGGTTAAAGGGAAACCTGTAAAACAATTGCAAGAAGCCATCCAAGATATACTTTTGACAAAAAAAAAAAAATTACCAGAGAATATGAATACTTTAAGAAAGATGTGGTCATCATGTGCATATGTGGGGAAGTAAATAAAGTAGAACTGATAGAAAAGTACTCTGTATGGCCCTTTGTTCCAGGACCTTTGTGTCTGTAGCTTATGGACATTTAGAATAGTTTTCTTCATAGGCATGTGAGTTGTTACTCATCCTTCATTTGTATTATTCTGTTCTACATAAGTAAATAGTAGTTTCTTTAGTTAAACCCAAATGTCACTGCTATCACTTACAAAGTAAACTGTAAAATTAGAGGATCAGAGAGATGACACTTGGTGCCAGGCATGATGACCCCTTCAGTCTCTGGGACCCACATCATGGAAGGAGACAGCCAGTACCCTCAGGTTGTACTTTGTCCACCACCCACAAGCACACACACATAAGTTTGATGTGATAATTTTTAAAAGAAATTACAAACATTTGAAAGCCTTTTCATTAATCTTTTTTGGACAGAATGGCAAAGAAGTACAATATGAAGCTAATATATAAAAAAACATTTCGGGAATTCTATGAAGAAAAGATTAAGAACAATGAAAACAAAATGCTCTTGAAACGCATGCAGGCCCTGGAGGTAAGTATAAAGAAAAGGAATAGAGATTCTAGGATGTGGTGAATTTCTTTGGTAGTTTGGGCTCCTTTTTCAAGGTTCTTCTAAAATTGTGGTTAGGTGTGTTGTGCAAGTTTACAGTTGCTGTAGATACTCTACCTTTAAGAGCAGAGGCTGATAAAGACAGCCATAGTGGATGTTCAGTAAACATTTGGTGAGTGAATGAGTGGTACTCTTAACAAATTCTGTTTCCCAGGTAGATTTGTCAGTCTCAGAACTATTGGCATTGTGGACTGGAAAGAATTCCGTTCTGTGCTCTGGCCTCTACCTATTAGATACCTACCTGTAGTACCCATATCCCTGCTGTGACAGGCATGTTTCGCACTGGGTAAAAATCAAGACCTCCCTATCTAGAAGAACAGTTCTCTATGACTACGTTAGCAGTTTAGGACCCTCCTGGCCAGGGCTTAGGACGAGCTCATACCAGGGGGAAATTTGTTCTCTGATGACACTCTATTAACATTTTGATAATTTGATATATACTGAAGCTGAGACTGCACAGTGCTTGCTTATTCTCCCAGTGCAGTGGTGAGAGACTGCACAGTCCTTGCTTGCTCTCTCAGTGCAGCAGTGAGACTTCACAGTCCTTGTTTGCTCTCTCAGTGCAGCAGTGAGAGACTGCACAGTCCTTGCTCACCCAGTGCAGCGGTGAGAGACTGCACAGTCCTTGCTTGCTCTCCCAGTGCAGCAGTGAAAGACTACACAGTCATTGCTTGCTCTCCCTTTTCCTTTTATTAAAGAAATGTAAAGTAATCGATGTACATTTTATTTGTTAGAATCATAGAGTAGTAGAATATAGTTGTGCAAAATTTAAGATGTTTCATTTAATTTAGAGTATTGTCTCATTTTTTAAACTTTTTTCTTTGTTTTTGTCTTGTTTGTTATGAGACAAGGTCTCATTCTGTATTACTACTTGGCCTGGAATTCACTATGTAAAGAGTTGAAGTTCAAATTTACAGCAGTTGTCTTGCTGCTCCTGAATCCTGGGCTGAGGTGTGAGATCCATCAACGTAGAATATTTTTAAGTGCTTGAAACCTAGCCTGTCTTGCTTATATTCAACCCATGAAAGTAGCAAAACACTTTTAAACAAATGGGCAGCCAATATTAGTTCAGGGTCACATAACTGTTAAATAATTCAGCTTTTATGGGTGGCCAGCCATCATTCTCCTATTGAAGTTTCAACCATGGTTATTCCCCTGAATTGCCTAATGGGAAGATCCTGAAATACTAATTGACTTTTGAAACCTGTAATTAATAAACTGTTCAGCTATACATCCTTAGAATTAAGAATGTTTTATATGTGTCTTGTATTTTAGAATTATGAATATTTTTATTGGCTTTATGTTAGGGTAGGAGCTTGGTTTTATTTGCCCTGCGGTAGAAAGGAAAAGGAGAAGCTGTAATTCTTGACATGTTTGTGTCCCTTAGCAAATTGCTCTTCCCTGATAGGCAGTACATGCTCATTCAACCATTGGACCATTGCTTTCTTTCAGTATATAAACAATGGATTTCTGTAATTGATTTAAAATGTATTTCAATAGATAAACGAGAACAAGGATTTTAAATTTTTTTAATGAGACCAACATATAGGCCTTGAATCCATCACAGTGTTAAGAGTAGGTAGTATGTGTTGGTATTCAAAGTGTAATGAGTATATAAAAAGGAAGGCAGCAAGATGTAGACAGAAGCATGGGAAAACAGATGTTTGGAGTGTTGTTACTAATAACTTCCTGTCTTAAGCACACTGCTTTTCTCAGTTTGCCTTCTTGATCCTGTCCTTGATATGACCCTGGCTGTCTGGGAGCATAAGCAGAAATAGCCTGTTGTTTGGAAAAGTGTTTTGGTTCTTTATTTCATGACTAAGCTCCTCCTGTGAGCCTGTGAATGTCATTGAGACCAAGGGTGGAAAAAGTGATCATGCTTTTGGAGCTTTAATCCAAACCAAAGATTTTAAGGGGTTCTTATTATTTGCAAAACATCAGGCTTCCACACTAGCCCTTTACAACTTTCCATAGTCCTCAGGAGGAAGGACAACTGGGAGGCTAAGGGCCAAGACACTGGGATCACAACAGTCTGGTGCTCACCTTCTGTTTTCACTGAGAACTTTCTTGGGAGGCATTTCTTGAAGAATTACTCCTTTGAAAAGTACTAGCTTACATACACTATGTAAGGTTTGTTGTTGCTGTTGGGGGAGGCAGTTTGTAGTTCTTACCTTTTATTTGGTCATCTGTAAAGGAGGAGGTGTCTGCAGATCCACAGACCATCTCGCTGTGGAGTTGGTAACCAGTACGTTGACTGGATTACAACAGAGTAAGTGAGACCCATTCAGAATAAAGTCCTGAAGCTTTGTGATACAGTAATACTAAAGTCAAGAGGTTGAAACTTAGAGTAAACTTTTACCATTACTGTTGTTAAGATTGGATAAAAAGTAAAGCTGTGAATGCTAAGAATGTGCAGGACCCACAAAACCAAAATAATTTCATAAAAGGTCTTATTATGTAGTCTACGCTTTCCTAGAACTGGCAGTGTTTCTGTGTATCCTGAATACCAGGATTATAGTTACATGTTACCAGGTACAGCAACCTATTGTTCTCAAAACAGCAAATAAACAGCTTTATTTCTAATACCTGGATATGCAGTAGGATATTCCTAAAGAAAAATGAGAAGGGGCTGAGAGATGTCTCAGTTGGAAGACCTAAGTTAGAGCCTCAGAACCTATAAAATAACTGGGCATAGGCTGCTGGTGGTAATCGTAAGGGCGGAGATGACCTGACCACCGAGCTCCAGAACTGTGAGAGACCTGTCTCAAAAACTAAGGTGGATGATCAATCCAAGGTTGACCTCTGGTCTACATCTACACATACCCTAAAAAAAGTGGGGGAGGGGAGTAATTTTTAGATTATAACAGAAAAAGCCCTTTGCCAGAAGTCAAGATGTAAATGTTTTCTGCTAAATGACCCCTTTTGAGGATTAAATTATATAGTTTGTCCAAGCTGTAAATAGTCTAACATTATGATAGAAGTTGACCAACAGTTTGGAGATAATTCCCTCCCTGCCCTTTTCTCTTATGTGAAAACTGAATAGGGCCTGGGGAAGTGGCTTAGCAATTCAGAGCACTTGCTGCTCTTGCAGAGGATTTGAGTTTAATTCCCAGTACCCGTATTAGGTGGCTTACAACCATCTGTAACTCTAGCCTCAGGGGATCCCCAAGGGCCTTCTGCTTGCTGTGGGTACTGACGCACCTTTCATGCGCACTTGTGCACACACACACAGGCGCTCCCGTGCGGGGACACACATTTTTAAAAGAAAAGATGTATGTGTAGTTGTAAAGCAATACTTAAGGATTATTTTTACAATTTCAGTGGTTTACTCTGTCAAACTATTGTAAGTGTAGTGAGATCTCTTAACTAGACTATATTTGCTTCCTTAGCCATACCCTGCAAATGAGAACTCTAAACTTGCCTCTGAAAAGGTTGGTGACTATGCACATGCAGCAGAGTACATGAAGAACAGTCAAGTAAGATTACCTCTGGTAAGTTTCCAGCGTTCTCAGTCGGAAAAGGAGCATGTGTGTGTGGAGACCGAGGTCATTTCAGTTGTTCATAGTGCTTGGGCTTCATTTAAGGGTTACAAACGTGGCAAATAATAATGTCCCCCCTAAGTTGTGATAACTTTGATGCTATAGAACATAAAATATATTTCAGTGAGTAGTATAGAAAGCTTTTATGGGACAGCTAAGGGTGGGGAAGAAAAATCATAGGCTTGGTTTGCAAGATTCCTTGCTAATTCTGTTCCAGAGACAAAATTCCAAGCTCTGTGGATGTAAATAGAAGATGGGAGAATAGTATATTTTCATTTGTATTGATTTTATGCAGACTCACTTTTAAAAAATTAACTGTGTGGTGGTAAGTCAAGCCTTAATAGCCCCAGTGAAAATTGCAGATATTTTCATAGTACATTTCTCTCTCTCTCTCTCTCTCTCTTTCTCTCTCTCTCTCTCTCTCTCTCTCTCTCTCTCTCTCTCTCTCTCTCTCTCTTTCTCTTTTGTTGGTTTTTTGTTTGTTTTTTCGAGACAGGGTTTCTCTGTGACTTTGGAGGGCTGTTCTGGAACTTGCTCTAGGCTGGCCTCGAACTCACAGAGATCTGCCTGCCTCTGCCTCCTGAGTGCTGGGACTAAAGGCGTGTGCCACCAACGCCCGGCTAGTACATTTCTCTTAACATCTTAGAATATTCTTCCCTTGTAATTTCTTCAAACTTACTGGGTCCTAGAACTGATACTAGGTCTTATGAAGTCAGTGGCCTATGCAAAACTGCACATACCTTACCGTATTGAATTTTTTTTTTGGCAAGTACAATTTATTTATGATGCATCATTTGTGGTTCTTTTGGTAAAACACAATGTTTTTCATTTTTAAGTAATAGGTTCAAGGTAGATGTTTGTTTCAGTTATTACCACTCCTCCAACAACAACTCAGCATTGAAATTAACTTCCTATAAAGAACTTTGCATTTTCTTGCTAAAACATTTGCTACTTCCCAATACCATGAACAATGAATATTTATAAACTGAGGCTGTGTTTTTATTTTTATTTTTTTCAGAAAGTTACTGATTGTTTTTAGATGTGTATATCATATTATGTGCATTGTATGTGTTTTTATGGTGAGGTTGGGAGTTAGCCACCCATTCTTTATTAAAACAAAAGCTTGTGTTTACTTCTGCATTGACTCTAAAGTTTCTTTCCTTTTATAATTTTAGGGAACCTTAAGTAAGTCAGAATGGGAAGCTACAAGTAAGTATGTCATCCAGTTAATGGACAGTGTCAGTGATTCTGTTTTAAGGGTATCATTAAAACTTGAAAATGTTAGAGTTTTTCCTGATATAGTTTGTGTTTATGCTGATACATAGAAACACATATCTCCCACATACTTACATATGTAAAATCTCCATTTGCACGTCTGCATAATGACAAAAGGAAATCTCTGTAGACTGTTACTCAACATACTTTCATGAGCATACATATTTTCATTACATATTTGTTAATAAGCAGCTACCTGTCTTCACCTCAGGATTCTGTTGAATTGTTTGGCTTACAGTATATTCCCATGGATATTACTTTACTTGGCCATTCATATGTTGACCAAGTAAAGTAATATCCATGGGATAGAACACTAAGCAAAGCAGAGTAAGGGGGGCTCTTAGGGAGCATGTTTGGAAACAGGTGTTACACAGATACATTCTGCCTTGAGACTGGTATCTTCAGAGGATATTCCACAGTCCTGGTAGATGTGTAAGACCTGGCCTTCAGCAGGAGAGTGATGTAGAGGACTTGAGCTTGCAGATCCTTAATGTTAAGATAAAAAGATCCTAATCTTTTACATGAATGAATGCCTTGGGAACTTGAACACAGTTCCTACTGTCCATTTAAATGTTTGTTAATTATGTTAAAGGCAAAAGTAGTAATCAGAGAAATACTAGTAAACATTGAATGTTGACTTACAGAATTATATGAAAGGACTTCAGGTGATAAAACACAAACAAGTCTGCCTTCTAGAGTTTAGTGGAAGAAACAAGCACAAATAAATATTGCTGGGCAATTTAAATGCTGAAGAGGGAAAGATAGATGGAGGGTTTTAAAGGTAGATCTTCAAACCAGCAAACTCTGAGAAGTAACAATATTGATTAGTAAGTGTTCAGTAGTATCTGGGCTGCTGTAATCATGTCATCTGTTATAATTCACCTAATCCCCACAAATATGAGTTGACTATATGTCATCATAGGAGAATGCAGTTTAAGGCTTGGGCTAAGTGGGAGAACTAATCTAGTTGACCAGGTTCCCATTTTCTCAATCATAGCCTCATAGAAGTCCTTACTATGATCAAGATTTTCAGAAATTTTGAGTTTCAAATTGTGTCAGATTCTAGTGTTCTTAGTGGTGTTAAATGGCTAAGTAGATTTTTGTTTTGAAATACGCTTAAATGATTTTATGTTTATCCCCAAGCCACTCAAATAATAGAACTCAGAAAATGTATGATGTTTTTCTTTCTCAGTCTGCTTGAGAATGTTTTTCATGGTGATACGAATAACTAAACTCTGACTTCTCTTATTTCTTCTTTAGGTATCTATTTGGTTTTTGCCTTTGAGAAGCAACAGTGAGCACTTAGTTGTCTCAGAGTGCACTCCATCTTTCCAGATGTAACAAACCATCTCATACATTTGACAGCTGTTAGTTTATTTTAATAATAAGTTCTAAATGTGTAGGATGCTGCCAAAAAGTCCAGTGTATAAATTTGACATTTACTGTCTGTGACAGGTTAGCATTGTTTGTGTGTGAGTGTGTATATATATATGTAAGAATGCTTCATCTTTAAGATCTATTTTAAGTAATATTTTAAGAATTGTTTCTCTTTACTGTCAAAAACTATAACAAAGCATGTCAGAGCAACTGACCTCTCCAAAGTGCTGTGATTTGCTGAGCGTGTTTACAGAGTTTAATTTACAGCAATTGTAGAATTAGCAAAGGGAGTGCTAGTTTGCCACCATGCACTCAAAGTTTTGTTACAGTGTTTTTCAATATTAAATGGATTGTGTTCTCTACATTTGAGTGTAAGTGTTCAATATATATTGTTAAGGTTATAAGATTAAAATATGATTTTAGATTTTCAAAAGAGCTACCTGGCTAGATTTTGACTGTGTTTCAATAAATAACTATTTGCTAATACAATGAAATTCTGAGACTCTAGAAAATTTTCAATGGCAGGATTGAGATATTGTGGAATGGTTTGGTATTCTGTTAAGAATTTCCTGCCATAGCAATTAATATGTCTAACTATTGAAATTAATTAAGGTACTTGTAACTTTCTTCATTGGACAGTGATTCCATGGTTAGATTTTTTTTATGTGAAAATGCCATGTCATAATCCTATTACATATTGTCTTTAAATGTGTATATGCAAGGGCAACAGGAATAGGTCGGTAAGAAAAACAGGTAGACATCAGATGAATCCTCACCAGTAAGAGACGTCAGTTACTAATGCTGTATCCTTCCAAGTCCCAAACAAGGAACCCCTGCTCTTCTCTTCCAGCATTGGTACTTCACACAGAACAACACACTGTCTAGTTGTCATTCAAACATGCATTTGTTGAGGTGTTAATGGTATAGAGATTGGCATGGCTGCTTTCCAAATATTTACTTGCTGTCTCACAACCATTAAAATTGTCATTAAGTTGCCAATTACAGAATTGACTTTTAGAACTGATGTCTATGTGAACTGCTGTCTTACATTTAAGAAACTTGACAGCCTTTAGATACATCAGGAAACCTGAGAGCAAAATACAATTATGTATTATTCTTTTAAACATCATTTAAAGGACAATTTACAAAGACCTTACTTTCTATAAAAATCTATAGTATTTGCTTTAAAAGTAGACTTGGGGATGGAGAGATGGCTCAGCAGTTAAGAGTGCTAGCTACTCTTAGAGAAGACCCAGGTTCAGTTGCCTGCATCTACATGACAACTTAAAATTGTCTCTAACTCCAGTTTCTGAGGATCTAATACCATCTTCTGGTCTCCGTGAGCACCAGGCATGCACATAGTACATATACATACATGCAGGCAGAACACTCATAAAATAAAAATAATTATTAAAAATTAAAAGCATAGTCAGATATATTGTCACTGCTCATAGTATTAGAGAGTAGCTTTGGTGCAGGGTTTGGGGTGTGGGATGAAAGTTCTTCTTGTCTTAGAACTTCAGGCTCATTTCTGGGGAAGTCACTACTGAATATTTTGATGGTTTAGCAGTAGGGAAAACTTTGTTCCAATTCATGTTCTTAGTTAATAGGAAATGCATCAACTTTTAGTTTCTTCTGTCCTTTCCATTCCATCCCATGGGTTTTTTTAGGAGAGAGGAATTCCTCAAAGGGTGGAGGATGGCTATCCCAAGCATTGAGAAGAGAAATGTGGAGTTCCTAGGCCACATTTGTTGAGGAATCACTGAACTGGGTCTGAGATGGGCTTTAGTACTTATACTTACTATTAGACATAGGAGGAGTTCCCATGAGGCCACCCCCTACTGGAAACAGTTCAAGAAGCTGCCTCTTTTGTGTTCTTACCTGCTCAGCCTCCACCCCTACACTGCTCCTTGTTGAAGTTAAATGACTCAAAATGAGTTTTTGAGGACAAGAATGAGAAGGTAGTCCTTTCCACTGTTTTAATCAATAAATGAGACTTTTTCCAGCATATTTGGAACCTACATGTTTAATTTTGCCAGGACTTGTAAGTACTTGATGAGAAAGGCATGGATTTTCATTACAGGATCCAGGAAGAATCCATTATTTTGTGCTCAATGATGAGAATGGGTCAGAGGAGCTGTGCAGACACTCCAGGCCTGTCACACAGGGTACCCTCCAAGGGTGAGTTTCAAAATGAAGATCAGGGGCTAGAGACATGGCTTAGAGGTTAATTGCTATTCTTTCAGAGACTGGAGTTTGGTTCCCACCACATAAATCAGGTGGCTCAAAACTGCTTGTAATCCCAACTTCAAGGACTTCAACACTTTCTTCTGGGTTCTGCTGGCATGTGCACACAAGCACAAACATGCAGACACATACAAATCAAAATCTTTAGAAATGAAGATCATGTGGGCCATTTGTGAGAATGACACAACTTGAACTGGAGATAGTTGTCTTGGGGGCAAATCTGCATTGTAGTAGGACCTAAAATGCCGACATGGTATTATTTGGGTCTAGAATTTACTCAGGGAAGCACTCCAGTGTATACAGTGTTGATGGAGAGAATCTAAGGAGTTTGTCAGTTCCTACCAATCCTTCTGGTATCCTAACATGTACAGAGAGGCTCAGGCCTGCTGGAGCTGACTCACACACCACTGCAGTGCTCTTGTGCACTTTACAGACTGACTCCTAGAGAAGGTGATGACTGAATGGTGAGAGAGAATACAGATTTTTCAAGACCCAAGCAACACAACATTCCCATTCTGTGATGGGCCTAGACTCCTATTTCCAAGGGTGGAACGGGCTAGTTCTGAAGCCTGAGCTGTTAGTTATTGAAACCCTTAACTTAGGTGTATTAATTCCTGAGTTAGATGCTCCAGTAAATAGAGTCCTCTGGTAGGAAACAGAGCTAGACTAGGTAGTCTTCATGGTGTGGTGACCTGGTCCTCTAACTGGACTTGTGGGATCTACACACTACAGGTGATGGTGTCCCCCCAAGCTTACTTTGTGGATATATCCACAAAGATATAAATATGAGGGTCTGTAACAGAATATAGAAATTCTGCTTTAGTGTGAGTATAGGCAGGCCTAATATGGATTTGCTTGTTTAAACTCTGGTCAAGTGTTGTATCTATACAGGCAGTTGGGTTCCTCACAGAACATACATACCTACATGGATTCATCAGCCAGAAGCTGGAGACTCCTTTCTGCTCACTACTGTCCCATCCACAACCACCATCCAGTTCTAAGCAAAAATCTGGTTTCATCTGGCTTGAAATATGTGACTGAAATTAAAAATACATCCTTTGGCTTTCACTTGTCAGTGTTCATGAGATTATTATTCTCAACAGTTGTACATTGTTTTCATGATTGTACACTATTTCATTGTGTGAATAAACATTATCCAATGGTGTTTTGGTTTATTTCTAGCTTGGGAACTGTACTACCACAGAACTCCCCCCCCCCCAAAAAAAAAAACAACTTTAAAAGCTATTGCCATGACTTTGTTTGTAGAACTTGATGGTAAGACTGTCATATTTCCACCACATGGAAGACATCACATAAGTAATAGAACATGGAGAAATTAAGCCAGTATCCACCCGGAAGCATTTTTACCCAACTTAGAGGCCTGTAGGCTATGATAACAATAAGCTTGGCAAGATATGTCCATTGGTACAATGGTGGCATAGATGTTATAGAAGTAAGCAACCGTATTCTGATTGAATATAAATAAAATCTTCACAAGACAGAACTCATGCCTGGTAATAATTGTTCACTATGTCAAGAACCTGTAGCTGAGTAGATGATAGACCCTACTATGACCTACTTCTAATCTACTAAATAGACATAGTATCAAACTGCCCTCTAAATACTCATATTTATCACTATGAGTACAGGGATGGTTCATTATATGTAAATCAATGTGTAATATACTATATAAAATGGACTCAGACAAATCACTTGATTATCTTAACACAGAAAAGAGTTCGGGAAAAAACAACTTTGTAGTAAAATGTCTGAAGATACTAAATACTAGGAAGCAACCACAACATAATAAAAACTATATATGATAAACTTAAGGGTCAGCATTGTATGTAAGAATTTCCACTAAAATCAAGAACAAGAGTAACTGCCTTTCTCCATTTATTTCATTTAATACTTGAGGCTTCAGCTAGACCAGTAAGGTAAGGACATAAAAAGGGGAGAAATAAAATTCTGTTTGCAAATAAGGCACTTCTGTATGATAATGTAAAAAAAAAAAAAAAAAAAAAAAAACAGCAAAATGGCAAGAGTACAAAATTAACATATCAAAACTAACTGCCTTCCTGTATACCAGTAACAAACATAGCCATAAAAAAACAAACAAAAAAAAAAAAACTGGGAAACAATCCCATTTGCAACAAAAAGTAAAAACCTCAAAATACACCTAAACAAGAAAGTAAAAGACCGGTGTAATGAAACATTTGAAACACTGAAGAAAAAAGTTGAAGATGCTAGAAAGTGGAAGGACCTCAAATGCTCATGGATCAGCATATTGTGACCATGTGAACATTAAAAATCATGAAAGTGGGGCTGGAGAGATGTGGTTAAGAGCACTGACTGCTCTTCCAGAGGTCCTGAGTTCAATTCCCGGCAACCACATGGTGGCTCCCAACCACATTGAATGAGATCTGGTACCCTCTGCTGGCTCTGACTTTTCCAAAGAACGAGTAGCAATGACACTAGTGAGCCACTTTGTCCCAGAAAGACAAACTACAAGACAGTTATTTGAGCTGGGCAGAATTTTAATCAGTGCGTTAGAGGAAAAGAGGGTGAGAGTCAAAGAGATTCATTAGCTGGAAAATCCATCTGTGCGCACCTAGGGGTAAAGCTTTGTCATATTGGAAGCATCACAGAGCTAAGGGTTGTGGTGGACCACTAGGTGGCATTGCAAACGCGACTCCTAGATTGCAGCGTCGGTGGCACCAAGTTGCTGGAGACCTGAACCCAATAGGTCAGAGAGGCGGCGATCTGGGCGGGCAGAGGCTGTTTAAAGGCAGAGCGGTGAGGTGCTAGGTTAGGTTGGGAGGAGACTGCGCTCTGGTGATGGTCCTGCTCTCTTGCCGAGGTCCGCCCAGGAGGACATCAGGTGCCCATCCTGAGTGAAGCGTCAAGGGAGGGGGCGCCTGGCCCGGATTCAAGACCAGAGCTGGGTAAACAGACACAATATTTCCCAGAAACCGCCTGGAAACAGTGAGGATTCACGTTTACCTTTGCATGGAGAACAGAATGGGTGAGCCACCTTGTGCAGGGAAATTCTAAATCAGCTGGATGTGATGTTTAAAGCAACAGGAGAAAGGGTCCATACCTTTGAGGTGTAAATGTATTGCAAGTGATTACAATCCAGTAGCTTTACCTCATTGCTAACACAATGGCTCCATGAGTGTGCCTTGTCTAACATTTCATAGGTATTTCTTCATACTGTGCTCATACTTAGCAGTCAGATTCAATGAAATTCAGATTTTTCAGAATTTAAGGAAAATACCGAGGGGAAAGTACTGTTTTTCTCTACTTAACATACTGTAAAGCAAGCTTATGTATTTGGAGGCAGTAACTGTGTTTATTCTCCAGCTAAGCGACCATTTGCTGTAATATGTTCCCACCCTGGAGAGTATGCATTGATGATTTGAGGGGAGCTCTGGTCAGTGCTAAGAACACAGGTACATCTGCCTTCCTTAAGGGAATGTTTGTCTGTGTGTTCTTCAGAAATCCGGACTCACTTGAGCAAAATATGATGCGGTAGCCCCAGAAATGTGAAAATCTGGAGACTGGCTTGGGACTTTTGATAGGGTCCAGGGAATGCTCTGAGAGTGAACTTAGGGGTCAAGAAATCAGACATGGAAAGAGAAGCTGTACTTGTCATAGAAATGGAAGCTAGTCCTGTAACCTGAGAGGGACGAGGTATGAGTAAATGGAAGAAGAGGCCCATGAAAACATTAAGCTTGTGTGTTAGAGGGACAGAATTCCAGGCACCAGGAACACAAGTCAGAATGATGCAAACCAGGGTCCAGCTTCCAATACTCTGTGTCTGCCCACCCTTTTTTCTTACGTGTACTTGCTTTTGGCATGGTAGCATGATCTGTGTTGTTGTATACACTTACATAATCATAATAACAACAACAAACAAACCTCTCTTACAGTAAATTTGATGCTAAGAAGTGGAGGCATTTTCTTCCAGCCATGAACTCGTTTCAACTGCATTCCTTGAATCTTACCCCGAATGCCACGGAGGACAACACTTTAGGACCAAATGCCAAGAACATGTCTTCGGCCTGTGGGGACATGGGCATTGCTGTGGAAGTGTTCCTGACTCTGGGTCTCATCGGCCTCTTAGAGAACATCCTGGTCATTGGGGCCATAGTGAAAAACAAAAACCTGCACTCACCCATGTACTTCTTTGTGGGCAGCTTAGCAGTTGCTGACATGCTGGTGAGCATGTCCAATGCCTGGGAGACTATCACCATATACTTGCTAAATAATAAACACCTGGTGATAGCAGATACCTTTGTGCGTCACATTGACAATGTGTTTGACTCCATGATCTGCATTTCTGTTGTGGCCTCCATGTGCAGTTTGTTGGCCATTGCAGTGGACAGGTACATCACTATCTTCTACGCTTTGCGCTACCACCACATCATGACAGCAAGGCGCTCGGGGGTGATTATTGCATGCATATGGACTTTCTGCATAAGCTGTGGCATTGTTTTCATCATTTACTATGAGTCCAAGTATGTCATCATTTGCCTCATCTCCATGTTCGTCACCATGCTGTTCTTCATGGTCTCTCTGTATATACACATGTTCCTCTTGGCACGGAACCATGTCAAGCGCATAGCAGCTTGCCCCAGATACAATTCTGTAAGGCAAAGGACCAGCATGAAGGGTGCCATTACCCTCACCATGCTACTGGGGGTTTTCATTGTGTGCTGGTCTCCCTTCTTCCTTCACCTTATCTTAATGATTTCATGCCCCCAGAACATCTATTGCTCTTGCTTTATGTCTTACTTCAACATGTACCTTATACTCATCATGTGCAATTCTGTGATCGATCCTCTGATATATGCCTTCCGCAGCCAAGAGATGCGGAGGACCTTTAAAGACATCATTTGCTGTCACGGCTTTAGACTAATTTGTAGGCTCTGTGGCACGTATTGAACACATCCTCGTCTCTGTGGTTCTCATCTCTTAGTCAATAAGGTTCAACCAGGGGATAAGCAAGGTCTCTAGGAATCTCAAATGTATTCTTTATCTCTTCTGCTGCTCAAACTTTTTTTTTTAAAAAAAAAACTGTTCATTGTGTATCAGAAGTATTCCCATGTGGTTTGTCTCCATCATGGGAGTGGTCTGTGACTCACGTCTTTACATCTTACTCTTTATTTTATTCCCATTCAATTTCTAGAAGGTTTACACCCTCAACTTGACCTGATGGGTGACCTTATGAGATGCATAATATCCTGGGTGAGATGTTATTGAAAGAAATATTGTGGAGGTCTATGGCACCATGAGTGGCTTTTTTTTGTTTTGTTTTGTTTTTCATAAAAAGGTGGATGAACCTTTTGCAATCTTTTCAGGAATAGAGACACCCTGCTCTTTTCCATTTGAAACTTCCATTTTATTTGCAATGGGTGTCCCTACAGCTCTCCTATTCTAGTTTATGGCTTGTATTTAGAACTGTCTGAAGATCAACCTTTACTCGCTAAACTTCTGTCCATCATAGTTTTGTACTTACTCAGGCATACAATGCTGTGATACAACCTTGCTCCATGTTCAGTGAAGAATCTCCATGACTATTTCTCCCTGTCTTATTTTGATTCAATTCATCATTTCCAAGAAATGTTTCAGGGTCGCATCAGGACCACAGGTGCACACCCACACTCACTCCATAGTAGCACACACTCATAGTCAACCTAGATTGGTTTTCTCATACACACTCATTCAGCATCTCTTGCTGTCTGAGTCTGTCACAATATGCATTTCAGCATCTTAACCTGACTTGAGCACTCATCGAGAGCCCATTCTACAGCAAAGAAATACCATGGTCTCCAGTCTGGCAGGGAGGAAAGGAGCGCAAGCTCAGGCACGAACTGCCATTCCCCTGATTATGTGTCCTTAATTTCACTCCAGGTTCCACATCTGTACTGACCTCCCAGGATGGCCAAAAGAACTACCTGAAAGCAGTGGGAGAACTTCTTTAAAATTCTAAAACCACATAGGATTCTCTTTTTTATATAAAAGGACTGATCCACATGGCCTACCAGAAACATACATGAAGGAAAGATTTAGGTGTTGGTAGCCAGAGCAGAGCAGTGTTGTGGACACCAAGATGTGCTTTGTTTAATGGAGCCATGTGACCCTCTGGGTCCAAGTGTTATCTAGACCCCACAGGCTCCATTTTGCAGTAGCATCTTGGTTTTAGTATTTTCTCTTTCATTGGACACTTGGCATCTAGACTGTTTTCAAATGACAGAAAAATGTAAACACAGCAATGGCTATAGAGGGTGTCCCACAATGAACTACTGGTATAAGAGGAACCCTTCTACAGAAGATTTTAAAGGCAGAATAACTTTCAAGTATAGTTGCATGAATAGCTTGTGGGCATGACCACCTACCCGTCTAGGAGCTCAGTATAGAAAAAACAAAACAAAAAACAGCAAGTGCTTGAGATGTCCAAAGCTGTACAGAATGAGAAATTGGCAGGTTGATTGCAACGGATTTGAAAAGAGCCATCTAGCCTTTCAAAATGTTTCCTGTTGGTTCCTATTTGCTGAAAGTTCACAGGCACATCTACGAATTGGAGTAAACATTCTCATTGTAACCATTATAGAAAGCAGAGACATTGTTGCTACGGATGTCATGGGGATGTGGTTGTATGAAGGCTTCCTCTCATCTGTGCAGAGCAAGCACTTGCATTGTTGGTAATTTTCATGTTGGCTCTTCTGCCCAATACCCTTAAGCATTAAGCAAGGAGACAAGAGCTGCAGCCGAAGGGTAGAATAAGATGTTGATCCTTGTGGTTACACTGTTCATTTGTACACTCCACTCTCATCAGGCTAATTCTCTGCTCCTGGTGCTAAATGACTTACTACAAATCCTGAACTTTATATTAAGGTGTTTAAGAACATGTTCAACTACATTTTAATCTCTAGGTAAACAAAATAGCCCTTGTGTTTAAATGTGGTTACATTTGGGAAACTATA